ATATGTATGTATATATATATGTATGTATATATATACGTGTATATATATATATATGTGTGTGTGTGTGTAAAAATGTAGAACAGAGTTATAATTCAGAATTGCTCAAACAGAGAAAAGTGTTTAAATCATACAAACCATGGAGAAAAGTTTGCACATTAAAAGTTTATTTTTTCGAGTGCATCTGATACATATTGAACCAACTAAACTAATATGTCAGACAATGGAAAATCAATAGGCAACCCCGGCTGATTAAAACAATTAAGCTGCAAAGATTGTGACACTAAAAAGATCAGATAACCGAATGTACAGTCTTTATTATACCAAGKAGTTTGAAGATACATTTTATACAAAGAACAGCTAATAGATTTAAATAGTTTAAAACAAGAGGATTGCCCATGCACACAATGATGTGAGTTTTATTAAACAGACTAAACTCCTGTATACTGTATGTACTGTATAAACCTGTCTGAGTCTTTGATTTTGGTTTTTAAAGTTAAATGATTAATACAACTGAACACTTCTTTGTCAGTTAGGTTAAATATGGAGTCATTTTTATCGGTATTGGATGTAATATTTAAGGATAAGTATATATTTTTAAAGACAATTGGCCCATCTGTTATAATGAGAATTAAAGTGTTCTTGATCTTTTTCGTCAAGCTCTAAGATATATTGCCCTTCAATCAATTCTCTATTACTGGAAGTGTCATCAGAAACATGCACTGGTAAAATGAAGAGTGACTCAGTATTACAAAACCTACTCACTCAGTATATAGAAAAAAAAAGAAAACCAGACTTTCCTTCTTTYAACATGTCATGGCACCATTTATTTTGTAAAGTTATACATAACCTTCCAACTTGATCATTGTACACTATATGTTGAACTTCATGACATTATTAGAATATCAAGCAGTCAGATCAGAATGTCCAACAGGAGCAGAAAGAAGCAACATTTCTGTCAGCAACTGATACAGAGAGAGCATGACCGCTCCTCGTYGGACAGGGAGAAAGGGCAAGAGAGGCAGAGGAGGAAACGTGACATTTGAAGTGTAGGAAGGGATAAAAAAATAAAAATAAAACAATTTAAATCCCACCTGCTTGTCCTCAGACTCTTTAAAAGCCTGGTTAACGTGACAGAGGATCCTTCTACAGCAGTCTGCTGCCTGCTTTACTTTTGCCTTCTCCTCTGCGTCATCTGAAAAATACGACCCAGAACATTACAGCTTCTTCCACAGCCCCTCAGGGAACTGTCCACAAAATTGATATTTCTTCTGTTTATTAATACTCCACAATTCACAGGAATATGGTAAAGCAGGAGACACAATATTGTCCTGTAATAGCRGARGATACTTTCTCATGGTGTGAGACTTATACTTCAACCAGGAACAAAATAATGAAGCAAAGATTGAGTGTCACATTTCCAGAGTCATGCACTAACGCTGCAGGACCATTATGATCATCTCTTCATTAGCCTCTAATGCATTATTAGTTGGCATGTTGCTGCACAGAGCCTCTTCAAGACATTCTCACTAAAAGTCTGAAGTTGGTTGCTGTCTTTTCTATTGTAATGTGATCAAACTAAAGATTTTATATCAGGGTGCAGCAGACTATAACAAAACTGTACAGATGATGCTTTATTTTAGTTGTCAGCAAAGTTCATTTATTTRTCTAAACAGCAGTATTACATTTAAAATTAACATTTGTAATTAGACAGAGTTTAGCAGACATCGTAAAGCACACATCAACAAAACAAATGGTCTTTTTTGATCTATCCTAATAAAAATAGTTGGTTTATTTGCTCAGAACCAAAGACACAGCCTTTGATAACTCCATATAACTTAGCACACATGTTATGATTACATGACGGGAAAAATTAAAAAAAAAAATCACTGAAACTATTCAAGTCTAAAAACTGAGGGTGAGCTGAAGTTCTGTTAGCAGAGACAGCTCAAGGTTCAACATAGACTAGATCAATGCTCAAACCTCAGGAGACCATTTACGCAGCTTATCCCTCACAGTGAGGATCCAGACAGAGCTGCCAGCAGATATCTGGTGACTTCACTTTAAATATATCACACACGACACTGAGATGTGTAGATGTCAGACAAATCRAGGCCATCTTCTGACACGCTCATTTACTCTGAAACATGGATGTGGTTCTCTCCATTTAACTATCATAACATTTTATGTGACGGGGAATGGAAGCTGTTTTGCTGTCCTGTGTTTTAGGCATTTTTCTTGGTAAGCATTTTAATACAGGATTTAGGTTCACAGCCTTTACTTGATCATTGGCATTTTTAATAAACCTTCAATTTTCTTATTTTTCCCCAGTATGGATTGAGAGGATTATTTCTGTGGCCTGGGGTGATTGTTAAGAGTTTACCTGCTGCAAGCAGGTGAACTCTTGATTTACCAGCAGGAATAAGGAGTCACACAACACTTATAAGTATGCACAAAATTGAGATCATTACTTACCGTACATACGTTTTTCAGCATGTAACATGTTCCACAATTTTTGTGCTATTTTAACAATCTAAAGACCAAAACTTATGGTTTATTTGGAACACTATGTCTCTTGGTACAAGATTTTATACTTTTTTGAGATATTTAGCTTTTTTAGGCATGTTTTTCTCATTGAAAAGAATGGATGTGTCTTTAACATCCTTAAAATTTATCAAAATGTTCATAAATGTTTGCTGTTCTTTTTACAGTTTCTTCTAGTTCTGCCTTTTTTWTTTTTTGCTTTTTTGTGCCAATGTCAGCTTCCTTTGGCTTCTATTTAGCTGATTTTAGCTTTTTTAGCTATCATTCCAATCTTTTCTGCTATTCTTCTGCTAATTTAAACTTTTTTGTGTTCTTTCAGCTTCTTTCTGCTAATTTCATCTGTTTTTAGCTACCTTATGCTAATTTGAGATTTTGTGATCATTTCAGATTCTTAATGCTTAATTCTGCAAATGTGCTCTGTTTGTTAGTGCTAATTTCAACTATTTCAGATGCATTTTTAACTATTTTTAGGCTAGTTTTAGCTTTTTTAGCTACTCAGTACAAATCTTTCAGCATTAAGCGTTTARGCTGCACTTTCGCAGGGAATGCAGATTTTAATAGTTAACCTCACCCAGCATTTTTCTCTTATTCACATTTCTTAGATACAGCTTCAATGTATGATAAAGTGCAAGAAAAAAATACATACATACATACATACATATATATATATATGTAT